TGAGTATGCACCTAATATAATAGAGGAAAGTAACAACACCTTACTCCACTCTGAAACTAAGGTCAAAGGACAAACTTGAAAGAAATCATTGAATCTAAGCGAAACTCCCTTCTTTCTACCTTAACCATAGGCTACTCAACTATCTAAGAGACTTTAGATTTTAACTATACTTTCTTCCCATTGCATATTCTTGTTGTGTTCAGTTGCTTCAAGCTTATTTCAAATATAACCATCTTATAACATCTCTCTCTTTTTACTCCTTACCAACTTAACTTTAAAAACGACCGGTGCAACGGTTGGCTCATTCGTCCTTGCTTGATCCATTACTCAACTCACTATTTATTGCTGATCCAATGCACAATTCATAACTCAATTCTGCCTCTGTCCTTTATTAACGTAGGGTACATAACTCCCCAACTCACTGCCCAACCCTTGAACTTGGCTTTAGTTCTTTTCACTTGTAGCTCACTGTAGTAGAGTAGGGTTCCAGTGTGAAAGAACTCCTGACACTACATAGTTTTGCTATTTATTCCTATTAAATTTCCCTATAGGAGAGTAGCTGTCGTGGACAGTTATGGACGTAAAGAAGAACAGTTGGGGACAGTTGATTGTCCCCCTCGTTGCCCCCCTTGACCATAATAATTTGGATGATGAGAAAGAGAAGAGGTGGAAGGTGGAAACGAGAACTATTAATTAATTATAATAATGTGTCATTGTAGTTGTTTATAATAGGAAGAGAGACAGAGATGGAGATGGATTAGAGATAGAGATGATGAATTCATTGACCCAAACCGATTCGTTAAATTGGTTAACTAATTCGAACCAATTTAATGAACAAGTTCAAAAATTAAATAAATAATTTGAAAATGAAAATACAATTAATATTTATAAAAAAATACATCCGATAATTTTTGTAAAATATCATAATTACAGTAAGATGTCATGTTGAACAAAAGTAAAAAAAAAAGAAAAAAAAAGACGAGTCAATGTCATCTAGACGCATGCTATTTGATTTTAGCAGTGTGTTG